TCATATCCTTAATTAGAAAAGTTTTGAAAGGTTGTGTCCTTATTTGTACGAAATCTCCTTTGATTTTAGTTAAATTCTCTTTAATCCATTTATAGAGTAATATTTCATCTGCACTAACCATTTTGATCTAATGTTATTTCAGACCGATCAAAAGCTACAGGTTTGTGACATTTGTGGAGCATTTTTGAGTGTTTATGACAGGTACCTTGTTTATCCTCTACTTCCTGGTCATAACCTTTTATCTTAGCTTTCTGAAGGCTTCGAAAAATTAGTGTTTGGGGTTTCAAGTGCTTCAGCTTTTGACCCGACAATTATACCTCCTTGTTACCAGCAGGCTTTTGGGCCCAGTTTTACGAGGATAACTTTTGCAGCTACATAATGTGCATCTTTTTCTGTTTTATGTGCTTGTTGATCTTGCAATTGTTAGATAATAAACATTTAGGAAACTGTACAGTGCAAGCTCCTGCAACTTTTTCTATTTTCTGGGTAAAAGTGTTTTGATTTTTCTTGTTCATTTCAGTGATCGACATTTAGCAGATCATTTTAGAGGCAAACTTCATTTAGGCTATATGCAAATCCGTGATAAACTAGCAGAGCTTCAGGTAAGATTATTTATCTGCTATGGTGGCTTTGCTTTAGGAATTACATTGGGGTAGGAAGTCCTTGCTGTCCAAGATTTTCGTTTTACAGATTGCCTGAACTTTTCTCCACATGCTATGTGCATTCAGCTTTTCTTTTCTTTTTCCCTTTCTTTTTTTTTAATAAAATTAATAAGACCTTTATTTACTTCCTTTGCCTATTGGATTCTAGTATAACAGCAAATTAAATGCTTTTGTGCTTAGTAAGTATCTCTATTCTTCTATAGATCTTTTGCAGATGTCCTTAAGTTTGTATTGTGAATATGTTGGTTCAGGTGCTGGTATATTGTTTCACATTCTTCTATAAAGATTCTCAGTTAGTATCAGCTGTGAGTTTTTCTGACCTTGGAGAAGAATATTATGCCCCGTTTTCTAATTTCTTTTGATTGTTTGTAGATGCTGGACTTGAAAACACAGCATTTTCTACGTGTCTCTGCATATTCAGTTTAAAATGCATTATGAAATGTCTTGGTTCTCAACCAATTTTGATAGCTCAGTTTTGTCTGCTGAAAGCGGGAAAGAAAATGTAAAATATGAAATCAAATTAGACAGAAAAAGTAGAAGAAATGATTTTGTTCGGGGCATTTTAAGAATAGAGGGAAAAAAGGGCTCTTAAAATCTGATGATAAACCTGATGGATGGAAGGCCTGGTTTGGTCAAGGTAAGCTGCCTATGGATTATGCTTACCATTTAATTCTGACCTAATAGTCTCGTGGTATGTTATATTTAGCTAAATTGAGGAGGCATTTATATTTTTAAAAGAAGCATTCAGCAGCACCTCTTGTTAAGTAACTTTTATCAGGAAGAGAGAAACAAGAGCTGCAAACTTGACCAATATGATGAGAAGAGGTAATCCTCACTTTTCTTTGTTCTTTTTTTTCTTTTTTTTTCACTTTTTCCTTTGGATGATATGTAAACCATCAGATAGAGAGGGGATTTTGTGATATCTTTTTTTTTTTGGTGGTGCATAGATCAAAAGAAAGAAGTAGAGATCAGGAGAGAGAATCTAGTTGTGACCAAGACCAAGCTAATAGTCGTGACCGAGGGAGGGATTATGATTGAAGAAGCAGAGATCGTGACTGGTACAATGATCAAGAACGTGGTAGGGATTATGACCGCCCTCAGACTTATGATTCTAGAAGTCACCGTCGGTCACGTTCAAGGTCACATTCCAGGGATTATGATTGTCACAGGTACATTTTTCTCTTTGTTTATGGTTTCTAAAGTTCATTTTCACATCTACTTGTGTATGAGTCTCCTGCCATTATTGGTTCATTTTTGTAATTCTATATGTGTTTGTTTACATGTCAAATTGATGCTTGTTTGGATTATATGTATGCTTCTGATCATATTCTTCACTTAACTACCTGTAGGTAATTTCATTATTTTCAAAAAGATCTA